CTTTCTACTCCCATAAAGATTTACACCCTCGGAAACCCTGTACAGGGTCGCTATGGGTCGGAACTGACTCGACGGCACTTAACAACAACAACAATGTGGTGCTATGGGCTAATGCGTCAGACTGCAAAGTCGTTTGAACTGCAAGGTTGGTGGTTCAAGCTCACCAGCCGCTCCTTAGAAACCCTATATAGGGTCGCTGTGGGTTGGAATCGACTCAACAGCACTTAACAACAACAATGCTATTTACAAATGGAAATATTGGATATATTCTTTGCCTTTTTTTTTTTTTGAGTAGTACTCTATTGTTAACTGCCATCAGGTTGGTTCTGACTCATAACAATCCTGTATAGGGTTTCCAAGGAGTGACTGGTGGGTTTGAACTGCCTACCTTGTGGTTAGCAGTCCAGTGCTTATCCTGTTTCATCACACCAGGACTCTAAGGAGTACTCTAATTCAGTAAAATTATTACAATACTGGGAGGAAAGAGCAAACTATTAAATATACTTGGGCTTTTGTTTTATCATAATTCTTATGTTAAAAATTAACCCAAAACCCTTAAACAGCTTTTGAGTTTTGGGTCAGAATTGACTTGATGACAGTGGTTTTTTTTTTTTTTTTGGTTGTTTCTCTGAACTTATTTTGAAGTTAACGTTTTTTTTGGAAAACAGAAACAAAAAATGGGTTAAGATTGCTCTGAATTTTGCAGTCTAGTGATAATCATGGTTAATGTTTTGGAATATAAAAAAACCCAAACCTTTTGCCATTGAGGTGATTACAACTCATTGCAACCAACTCTATAGAACAGACTAGAACTGACCAATAGGGTTTCCAAGGCTATAAGCTTTATAGAGCAGATGGTCACATCTGGTTGTTGTCTGTTGTCATTGGTTCTCAGTCCACAGAACTCCCTTTAGGATGTTATGTAGTGCAGGGTTGGCTTTGGCAAAATCCCTTAGCTTGTGTTTATCCTGGAATGTTTTGATTACACCATCGTATTTGAGTGACAGCTTTTCTGGGTAGAGGATTCTTGGTTGGCAGTTTTTTTTTCTTTCAGGATTTTATATATGTCTCCCCATTGCTTTCTTTTTTTTTTGAATGGAGTTTGGCTTTTATTGAGGAGAATACAGGTTAGGTATGACGTAATTTCTGACGGGGTTAAAAAGACCAGGAAAGTGGGATGACATTATAATTCTGAGAGCTTTTGAGATCGTTGCCTCCTTCAGTCCAAAACAGGGAGATGCCAGCAGAATGTACAAGTAAAGGCTGATATGATCTCAGCAAGCTGGAACCGCTCACTTCTCCACTGCAGGTGCACATCCCTAATCACATACTCCACATTCAAACTGAACAACATCAAAAATGAAATTGCTCATTAATGGGGGTTGGGAGGGACAGCTGCCCAGGCAGGATTGGGGGAGGGTTTTAGAAGCGCAGGCCCTTTCGGGCCAAATCGGCCCGGGCCTCCTGGATCTGGGTCTGCAGCTCCAGGGCGGCGTCCTCGCAGTCATGAAACGTGGCCACGCGATAGCCCACGGTGCCCAGGGCAAAGCATCCAATGGTCACTAGCAAGTAGGCAGGCAATGGCCACAGGACCTCCCGGCAGGTCAAGGGCAGCTCCAGGCCTAGGGTGGGGCCCATGGTCAGAGCCGCCCAGGTGGATCCAAGGAGGGCCAGCCCCCACAGCCACTGCGCTAGCTTCGTCATGGTCCCTACAGTCCGGACCACCTAACCTTAGCTTCGCTCCTTGGTGATTCTCGCTGTCCTCTCCCTCTCCATTCAGTTCTCAACCTACACTTACCTCTCTGCTCCCCATTGCTTTCTTGCCTGCGTAGTTTCTTTTGAGAAATCTGAACTTAATCGGATTTGCTTGCCTTTGTGTGTTACACTTCTCTTATCCTAGCTACTTCGGGATTCTGTCCTTATCTTTGGTTTTGGAGAGCTTAATTAAGATATGCCTTGGTGATTGTCTTTGAGGGTCTATCCTTCCTGGGGTTCGTTGAGATTCTTGAATGCTTATCTTTTCGCTTTTCAGGGTATTAGGAAAATTTTCTTCCAGAAGCCCTTCAGCTATCTCCTCCATGGACTTGTGTGATTCGTCCTGTTCCAGAATACCGATAATTCTTAAGATATTCCTCTTCATGTTGTCCAACATGAATCTTAGGCCTTCTTCAGAATTTTTTATCCTTTTTTGTGCTTGCTATTCTAACTAGTGTTGAGAGATTTATCTTCTAGCTTACTAGTGCTGGCTTCTATCTCTTCAGTTCTACTCCTTTGCCCTTTCAGTGTATTGTCCATTTCTGATAATTCTATTATTAATCATTTAGACCTCTTTCTGTAAGTTTTGAATTGTTTCCAATGCTATATCTGTCTTATTTGATTGCTACTGTAGTGCTTTCCTGACTTCGTCCTTATTTTTCTCAACTTTATTGTATAGTGTTTGGATACATTTTATAATCATTTTTCTGAATTCCTTTTCAGGCATTTCAAAATCCTGCCCATCTTCCAGTATGGAGTGTAGGTGTACTTCCAGCTCATTTTCCTCAGTCACTTTATCTCATTTCTGGACATGTGCTGATATGGTCATCTGCTTCTGTTTTTTGGGCATAATCAGGAGTTATCTGTGGCCTTAATACTTACATGGGTGTGTATTTTTTATGCTTTCTGATTGCCTCCAGGTAGATGTGATCAGGAGATGGGCTTCCCTTTTTACTCTGCTTCATGAGAAATTTCAAGATGCCACTGTTGGTTGTTGTGACGTAACTCAGGATTTAATTTTCAGCCTATTTCCTTTTTTGTCTGCCTGTCCTGCTCTACAATCCCCGTTCAAGCCTTTTTCCTAGTGATAAACAGTTCAGGGCTGGCTGTGGCCATTTTGCACTGATGTTTGGTTTTAAGTGGAAACTGTCACTTTAAATTTCAAGGAAATCTGTGCACATGTGTAGTAGAACCCTCTGGGGGTAGGGGTAAAGTGTCCACTCGCTCAGGCCACCCCCTCTAGTCACCAGAATGGAGGTGCGCAGACAGCAGAGATCAATGAACAGATTAAAAAAAAAAATAGATTGTTACAACTTTATCTCCATGATTCTGTCAGGCATCCGAGGCTGCTCTGATCCTTTCCCCGCTTGGTCTCTCCCACGATGGCATCTCTGGGAGCAGCTGAGCATCCTGAGTTAGAAAGCAATGGTTTTCTTGCTTCTGCTACAAATTACCCTAGCTATAAGCCTTCCAACCTTCTAACTGTTCTTTTATATGTGGTTCAGAGTTCTGGCACCATCCCCTGAGCCTGCTTGGTCCGGTATTCTGTGTTGTTACTGATGGAGCTCCTCACTGCACATCTACCTGATCCGCCATCTTGTTAGTTCTCTTGAGGATATACATTTTTGTGGAAGCAGAAAGCTTCATCTTTCTCCCACGCAGTGGTTGGTAGGCTTCAACTGCTGATTTTATGGTTGTAACCCGTGTTTATCGTATGGAGCCGCTGCATTCCTAAGATTGGCTGTAGTGGAATATAAAAACAGTGGGTTGTTTTAAATGTCTTTAGAGAAAATAATTAATGCTATATATCAAGCAGAAATATCCTTTTAGAATGGTTATAAAATATGAGTAGACTTTTATATGTACAACACAGGGAGCGTGCCAAAAGTGACGGAAATTTTAAAGATTTTATTTTAGGTAGAAAGAAAATTGAAAGCCAGAGATACAAAAAAGAAGAATAAAAGAAAATCTTAAATATGTAAATAAGTATATACATTGATTACTTAAAACATAGACTTAAAATGCATGTCAATAGTAAATTAGCCAGGAGAGATAATGGAGGAAAATTTTTCTAAGGTATTAATTAACATTAGATATTGATAAGTTGGAGTTCTGGTATGGCACTGTGGGTAAATGCCCTGGACTACAAAGTCAGTTTGTACCTCAGGGTTGGCAGGTGAAGCTCACCAACACTTCTTGGAAACCCTATTCAGGGTTGCTATGAGTCGGTACTGACTTGACCACACTTAACAACAACTGCATTAATAAGATGGAGTCCAGCCACTCTTCGGAAACACTATACAGGGTTGCTGTGAGTTGGAACCAACGTGATGGCACTTAACCACAACGACAAAACACTTTTAGAGAATTGTCACTATTTGACCCATATGGAGGTTCCCTGAGAATTTCTATTCTCAAGCTCTGTTTATTTGCTCTTGACTATGAAGGCACCTTCTACAAAAATAATTTTACCCAAGAGCAATTGTTTAAAACATTCAGAGACTATTTGTGACATGTACGATGTCAATGGAGGGAGGAAGTAGAATAACTGTTATTGTAGTGAGGGGATTATAAAAATATTTTGATGTACACATACAAAACAAAAAATATATTTTCATTTAAATGTCCAAAGGGCACATTTTACAAGCCAGCCTCCTGTCTGCAGGTGCACAGCCTTTCTCAGTCCATGGCCTAGATTTTGCAGCAGCACTGTCTCTCTATGCCACCACCTCTGCCACTGTCTCTACTGCCCCTGCTTTTCTTGATTAAGATCTTACACTCCACACATGCTCTTCCCTCTTGATGGTACTGGATTATCTGATCCTAAAAAGGAAGATTAACTACTCCCCCCTTTTAGTTATACTTCTACCATTACAGTTGTGACAATCACATCATCTTCTATCCCCTTTCACCAGATCCATCTGGAAAAGAGGAAGACTATTTAGTGGAGATTCTACCTTACCCCCCTCCCCCTTTCTGAAACTAAGCACACTCATGAAAGCTTGTAAGCCAGCTACTTTATGTTTTTATAGCCCCCTCTCCCCATTTTTGATAGCCAGTGGCTGAATTTCCCATCCCATCGGAAACCCTATACAGGGTTGCTGTGGGTTGGAACCGACTCGATGGCACAACAACAACAATAGCAACAAACTCAGTACAGTGAGGAAAGAAGCTTGTTCCTTGATATGAAGAAACCTTCCATTCTGGTTGGAATTTTGAGCAACTGCATTCATAAGCAAAAGTCCAGTTCATCAAATTGTAGCAGTTTACACTTGTTTACATTACCAAACATCTTTATTTTCATCTGGTGTAATTTCTACCAACTAGCCATCCAGGCTAGGTCAAGTGGGTACTAGCTGCAAGTCTGGGAGTACATGCACACTTCCCTGCACTTTAAACCAGCTAGCTACTTCACTCTCAACCCTAGCCCCCAGCAACTAGGTCAGTATCATGGGCTCAGGAGTTCACATATCTTTGTAAACTGCAGACCCACCCAGCCTTTTCTCTTCTGTTTCTTATCTCATGTAACATCATGCATTGTTGTTGTTAGGTCCCATCAAGTCGGTACTGACCCATAGAGACCTTATGCACAGCAGAACGAAACACTGCCCGATCCTGGGCCAACCTCACTATTGTTGCCACGCTTGAGTCCATCGATTCTGCCACTTGGCCAGTCCATATCGTTGGGGGTCTTCCTCTTTTTCTCTG